AAATTGCACCGCTTCCTATGACTGAAACTACATTACCCATTACCCCAAGGAAAACTTTGTCAAAGGGTTTTATTACTGCTGTTGAGCTATACACCAGAAGGCTGAAGCACATTGCCAGGAGACCCTTCTGTTATGCTATAAAAGCTTATGTGCAGAGTACAGCTTGCATTCAATATCCATCAGCACTCAGAGGAGAAAGATTTTTTTTTTTCCCAGAACATCTGCAGAACCTCTCATATATCAGCACACCAAAACACAGTTATCAGAAACTGCTAATTAAAACTTAATCAAGTCAAAAGAATGAGTATCTATTTTTCCAAGCTGACCTGCTAAAGGTGAAAACTAAAAATAACAACAGGGAGGCCACTGGAAATGAGAACTTTTACTGGATCTGCCAGGCAATCCACAAGGGAAACTCAAGCAGCTTAGGATTACGTCATTGTGGTAAGGAAACACCACTGTTGTTTATTAATCACTTCCAGGAAGAACGCTATCAGAAAGACATTCTTCACAGCACCAGTGCCTGCAATGAGCTCGCTCTGCCCTGCTCGCTGCAGGGTGGGTACTGGAGACTTCCTGAGCTTTCAATTGCCACTTGGAGCCAGCTTCACCTCTTGCCAGGAGCTCGCAATGGAAACGCACCTTTTCACACGTTGTCGGGACAAAAAGTTGGATGCACCCAACACCCTACAACTATAACTCCCAAATTCTCATGAAACCGTCCCTTCTTCTCTGGTAAAAGTGATGGATATGGCCTGTCCAAAACAAGCGTTGCTAGATTCTTTTGTTTTCCCCTATGCTCCAAAGCCACAAAGTCTGTTCTTTCTATCAGACATGACCAGGAAGGAAGAAGGCAAGCTTCAGCATTTTCCCCAAGGTGCCCTGTACCTCCTCCCTAAATGAGGTGACCAAGACTTGCTCACAAGCTTGTACAGCCAGGCAGTATTCCCCATCAAAAACTGGAAAAGGGGTGTAACAGAGAGACTGCAGGCAAGGGAGGACAAGTAAGACTACTTGGAGTGCTTAAACCCTTATTCAGGAGGCTAAACCTCTCCACCACATAGAATCATAATGGTTGGAAAAGACCTTTAAGACCATCAAGTCCAACCGTAAACCTATCACCACCAAACCTGCTAAATCACGTCCCTAAGTGCCTCATCTATATGTGAGACAACTAAGAAGAAAAAGGAAACACTAAAGACAATCAAAAGGCACTGTTTGTTGGAAAAGAGGGGAGATATACATGGTGCGGGAATTACAGCGGACAGAGTAATATTCTTGTGAATCGTGATCCAGAAGAATAGGACCCTAAACGGACACTCCACTACACATAACAGGGTGAAACACAAGGGACTGTTGTAATTGCACAGTGCAAAGTCCACAGATGATTGTCAGAGCCCTCCCAGCTACCTTGGATTCAATGAGTGCCGTGATCTGCTGCTCCGTTCCTCCAAGGGCTACTGATGAAATGTGCCAGATTCCGTGTTTCTTTCCAACTGTTCTGAGTCTCCTGCATCTGATCTCAAAGAAGGGAGCAGAAACAGCTGGAAGAGAGAAACCAGAATGGCATAGTCCAGCAGCAACCCTTGGAAGAGCAAACAATGACAGCCTTGTGAGAGGCTCCTTGGCCCCTAGCACGCATGTTTGCGTGTGGACACGTGTCCACACATTTTCTAGGTGAAAAAACACACATCACTAGTGCATTTGCTCTGACTGCACACAGAGCATCAGAGCATCCTCTGACTTAGCACATCGTGCAATCGGTGCAAACCGAACAGACGGAGGGCTCAGCAGCACCGCCACAATCCACGGCCACAGGTGCTGAACGAGCCACACGCGTTAAACGTAGTCTGCAGTTTGCACCGTGCTTCTCCTGCACGACACCTTTGCTCCCTCAGTCACTCCACCTGCTTGCAGCAGAGCGGCAGCTCGCAGCCCACGCAAAGGAAGCCCATCAGGGTCTACTGTTTAAGGCTTTTTTTTTTGTTTCAGCTCCTGTAGATCTAGCTGCAGGCCAAAAGAGGAAGGTGAAACAGCAGGTGAAACTGGAGACCCAAGGAATAGGCTTCTTCAGAGAGAACTTGGGTATTTGCTGCCAAAGGAGAGGATTAATTGTGAAAAATCAGGAAGTCAACTAAGCAGAAAGCAGCAGGAGATCACTCCAGATAACAGGGGCAGTAGGAGCAGGGCTATTGCTCACTGAGATGCAGGAAGGGGAAATAAAAAGGCTCAAGCTGTTTCATATGTGCAGGGACTAGGATAGGAAGCGAAGAGGTCATGGAGACAGCACTAGTGGAAGGAGGGCCACAGGAAAAAAAAAAGTCTTTGAAAATGAACTCTAGGAAGTGGTTAAAAGGGGGAGAACTCTCAGGTTGGTGTTAGTAGCTTCTTGTTTCCCCTAGAAAGAAACAAACTATTGCAACTCTCCGTCAGCTTTGGGGAAGAAGGACTGGAAGTGCAGAAAGACTAAGACAGCTGATGCCATTAAGATGACAGAATTCCAGACAAAGAGCAAAACAAATGAGGATGTTGCAGAATTATGATTAGGAGAAGACAGAAAGTAAATGTAAGGACTTACGAGCTATTCAAGAGAAAAGAGCCCAAAGGACCTTTCACCAGACTGTGGGATGAAATGAACATCTTTCCTGAACACAGCTTCCTTAGAAGTGGCTATTGGCAAGCAAAGGCACACCATGTCTCTCACCAAGATCTCTCACCAAGACAGCAGTACCATCAAAACCCTGGTCCTAACACACATGCTACCATTTCTGGGAGTCCCTCAGCATCACATCCCTGCTTGCTTTTGCCTCCAGCGAACCTAGTGACATCTCACTACAAATTAGCTCCCTTTCAAGTGCCAAATCATTAAGGGAAGTAAGATGATTACCTGAAGTATCACAAGTCTGCCTGTCCCCTGAAGAGTTGGTGTGAGGTGTTCGGTGGCGATAGACTAGATGTGGCTTGTTGTGCTCTTCTTCATACTCCTGTTCTTCAAGTGAAAGCAATGGCTCTACAAAATAGTCTCCGTCGTGAGACTTGAATGTGCCTAGCTGTGAAGGAACAGAAACAGAAAGGCGGTCAGCTTCGGGTGACGACAACTGAAGCAGCAGGACTACCCAAAACAGGGGTGTTCCCAGAGGAGGCGTGCGGCTTTCCCAAGTTTCCTCCCAGTGCCCACCCCTGCGAAGGCACCGCAGCGCCCACGTGGGCAGCGCTCTGCCCAAGGGAACACACGTAGAGAGAGTTACAGGGAGAACAAGAGGACACTGCCGGGCAGACTCCATTTCTATGGGCATTCCTATGGTTCCTAGGCTAGGAACCAGACCACAAACAGACCATGCTGCTGGAAAGAAGGCCTATTCTGCCATATGTGTGCATGGCAGCCTGGCTCAGCCTGGGCACACACAGAAGGGGCTGAGGGGTGGCATGACCACACTCGCCCAGCAGAGCACCTAGAGCTGGCAGCACCTTTGGGTGCAACACTCAGTCAGGATCACCATGGGGTGGGCACCGCTGGGGAGCCCCCAGGCACCCCTTCCTACATCCCTGGGGTTGGCTGGAAGGGCTGAGGCCAGTATAGCTAGTATAGCCCCGCTCGTGCCATAGAATCATAGAATCATAGAATCATAGAATGCTTAGGGTTGGAAGGGACCTCTAGAGATCATCTAGTCCAACCCCCCTGCATACGCAGGGACACCTAAAGCACGTGGCACAGGACTGCATCCAGGCGGGTTTTGAAGATCTCCAGAGAAGGAGACTCCACAACCTCTCTGGGCAGCCTGTTCCAGTGCTCTGTCACCCTCACTGCTAAGAAATTTTTCCTTAAGTTCCTATGGAATTTTTGATGTCCCACGGGCCATAGGAACAGTCTAGGGGCAGCCCTGGAGAGCTTCTGCTCACCCTGTTCTGGCATTGCCAGCACCCCTGGAACAGAAGACACGAGGATGTTGGGAAGCCTGAGGGTCACATCTCCCCCTCCCAGACCTCAGCAGCCCCCCTTGGTGAGAGAGGGGGGTCCCCCCCGGGGGTGCCGCTGGGTGGCGGCTTCGCCCCGAGGGGGCCGGGGCTCCCCCGACGCCGCAGCCCGACGGGCTCGTCCCAGTGGGAAGGGGCGGGGAAGGGGCCGGCCCGGCCCGGCCCGGCCCGGCCC